GCTGAAGTTGCCGGCGGCACATGCGCACTTTGTTGTTTACAACCAAAACTTTCTTGAAGCTAAAGCTGAAATAATGGCCAGAGGAGGAGACGGCAGTGCTCAGGAGGACATTTATTATCCCTCAAAGAAGACAAAGTGGGAAGTACAGGCATTTTTTGGATATTTGAAGAATGCCGAGGGATAGTTGATAGAAGACGGCTATCCTGTTTGCAGCACGTGCAGAAAAAAGTGTCTGTGAAAGGCAGCAACGCTTCAAATCTCATGAAACATCTGCGTGACCATCTCCCACAACTCTACAGTCAACGCACGGCAAGTTAACGTTAGGTTTTAGCTAAAATGCGTGGTCCGAGGATTTGGGTTGAGGGAGAATGCAACAAGTCGCTATATAAAGCAGCCGCAGCGCTGCTACCTGCATATAAACCGTGTCGCGGACACCCCCATATTGAAATGACGCTATGCATTACGGGGCTCCCAGGGGCAGATAAGAGTTGGTCTCTCTCGGAGAATAATTATGAATTTAACAATGATTACTGCCTGATGACATTTTCCCACATCTGCAAAGCTCACTGGAAGGACACAAACCGAGGACAATATTTTCCTGATATAGGGTTTATTACTCAAGTAAGGGTAAAAAAGTATCTGATTAGAAGGCTACTTGAGTACTGAGTATAATCTGATCTAATATTTTTTAAATGACGACATCAAACAGACCAAAAATAAGAAGTTATGGGCAAATATTGGTATTTTAAAGACTAAAGGGGAAAAATGTAAACAAATAAACAACATAATTACAAAATAACACATTTTAGGCTAAATTTAGACACAAAATGAGGACAATATTTTCCTGACATACAGGGTTTATTTAGTTGTCTGAAAATTTAACATGTTTAAAGAAATACCGCGATACTACCGAAAACCGTGATCATTTTGGTCACAATAACCGCAAGCTTAAATTTTCACACCGTAACAACCCTACCGTAGATATGTACCAACTAGCGAGAAAAGCAATTTTTGATCTTCTTTTTCTGCAGCGGTTTTAGCACTTTTCGGTGCACCGCTGCTGATACAGCGCCCCTATAGTGGTGCAACGCTGCAACTGCTGTTAAAATAACATCCATATAGTTGGGGGCAGAGTGAAATCACACTGGGGCAGCACAAAAATAACGAGGTGGCCACCACTCAAATTTGAACGCAGGAAAAACCTTGCACACACACACATACACTTGTATGCATGTATGCACTCACACATGCAGACTGTGAGAAAGGGGCGCCTGGTTAGAGGTTATAATAATAATAATTCAGTTTGTACTGATAGATTAGCCATGGGGCAATTCTCCCTGCTGGGCTCTTTAAGGTGAGTTTGGTGTTCCACTCCAGTCATTACTGGGACACAGAGGGAATCGTATACTTGCAGGTCTGATTTTCCATTTCTCAGAGTGATATTTATGGCTTTGCATCAGCTGTGCTGTGTGAGTGATGTAAGGAGAGACAGCCTCCCAGTCCCCAAATAGCTGTGGAAAGATTCAAACTAAGATGGTATAACTTTACACAGCCAATAAATCCCTATCTTAGGGCTGGGTGATACGACCTAAAAATAAAATCTCAAATTAAATTTTTTGAAATTCGATTTACGATTTTTTTCCTATTCTCTCTCCCCATCAATTAAGATTAGCAATAAGTAGAAATGGAAGGCACCTTAAAGCCAATTTAGTTTTTTATTTAATCACAAGCAAGACAAATGTAACCCTCATTTCTGAGATGAATAATGAATAAATGAACACCCTCTTGGAATAAAAGTGCCACGCTCCACGTCCGTAGCAGCAAACCCAAACCAGTTCCAAACAGCGGACGGCTTAATTCCTTTCTTAGGAACTAACTGCCCACTTTCACCATTGGCCATGGAGTCGCTTGCTGTTGCGGTGCTGTGAAACTAACTCTACGGAAGCTCCGGGGGGTGGGTGGGTGGGGGGGGTGGTTCGGGGGATGGAAGGCACAATTACATAAAAATTTGATTAACAATTTTTTTAAATCGCCCGCAACAAAATATTTGAATTAATAATTAACCCTTTGATGCATGAATTATGAAATCTTCAACCATGATTTTTTTAAACAATTTTTTTCATTCGTCTTTAGGTGTGAATGAAACAAATTTCAACAAATATTTTATGTAAAATTTTATCATTTACAAATAATTTATTACATGTCCACTTCAGTGGGCAGCGTGCATTCTGAGCATGAAATATGTTGGCTTGGCTTACTGAAGTCCAAACGGAGGGGCTCAAATGCAATAAAGTCTTCAACAGCTGTGCTTGATAGCAAAAACAAATAAATAACAATTTTGGGTACTTGTCCACTGTAGTGACCATTATGCATCAAAGGGTTAAATTGATTTATCACCGAAGCCTACCCTATCTAACTTGGTCCTTAAGGAAAAAAACAGATAACAGAGTACAATATTATTATTTAGATTGTTTTTACCTGGATCAGTTCATAGAGCTTGTCCTGTCATTCAGATGGAAGCTGCTCAGAAGCTCTCCACCACACCTGAGTCTGTTCAGGGGTGTAGAAGCTGCTCTGGGTGGAATTCCCATCATGGTCCCAGTGTCAGACACACAGCTGCTGGGAGGCTATGTGAAATATAAAGAAACAGCAAATATATTTATAGTTGTTTTTAAGAGCAGCAACACGCGTGTAACAATAAGCTAAAATAATGACATAATGTTATAACTAGAAGGTAAAGAGACAGAGGGTTAAAAAATAACTGAACTGCCTGGACCGGTGCAGGCCGGTGGGGGACTACATCAGTCTGACAGCAGATTTATTGGGCAGGTTTACTGGAGCCTGAAAATAAAAATAACATCACCTTGTTGTGGGAGTTTAGTAACTTAGATCATGTACAAAACAATCTGTCTAATATATGTGCTTTATAACACGGCTGGTGAGTGATCGGACTGCTCTCAAAGCTAACTCAGTGTCCAGAATCAGACATGTTCTAATGAGAACCGGGCTCAGCACCAGTTCAGAACCGGGTCAGCTTTTTAGCTGCATGAGGAGCTGCTCCT